TCTTGTTCCTTGCTGCATAGTGTGTGTGTGTGTGTCTGTGTGTGTGTGGAGGGGAGGGGGGCGTTTTAGGAAGCCACAGCTTTATGGTAGTACTAAATAACATACCCTATTATTCGATTCGTAGGAGTAATCTGTTATTTTTCACAAACGATGCTCGAGGAGTGAGAATCGGGCGCATCCTGCAGAAGAAGTTCCTACCTATGTGTGACGAAACTCAGAGTACGGCAGCCTGTCAGAGTAATGGAGGGTCAGCTGCCACCTCAGGTGAAAAGCAGCTCAGTCGATTCACATTCGGGTCACCCATTTAAGAAATCAGCGGACAATCATCAAAAATGAGGTAGGAAGCTAATGTGTGATTCCGTCATTACTGTGATAAGTGTATTGTATCATGAACTTTGTAAAAAACGTGAAAGTGTGCCCGAGAGCGTATCTTCGTGATTGCAAGCTTCGTTTCGCAGCTCTCTCACTAAATGAAGAAATAACGATGGTGATTGTTTGGAGGAGTAATCAAGAGTCAGTGGAAAACTCAAAAGGGTAAATTGGACGTCTCGATTTCCTTCACGAGGTTATGGAGCAGGAGTGAAAGAGTAGATCACATTATGCACCTGATGATCCAGTAGTGGAAGTCCATGAACCAAAAGAATTAGAGGATTGTGAAGGCGAATGGAAGAGCTGCTGGCTGCGGGGCATCGTCGCTTCAACCTCAAATTAATTTTTAGAAAAACCATTCGAACTGGCAAATAAATTTTATTCCAGCTCGGCAATTAAATTGCTGCGTGGGAGGGGTAGTCATGTTCGACAGATCGTTTGCAGCCGGCTATAGCTTCCCGCATGAATGCGCTGAGGATTTACTGCCGCAATTGTGGCGTTGGCCGTGGCAACGAAAACGATAAATCTTTGTTTGTTTACAAAAGGACGATATGTCCGATTGATTGACAGCCACAGGCTGTTGGCCAGAGGTCAGAACGCGCTGTCTTCAAGCATCACAGGAATGGCTGCGATTTAGACAGCTGCTGCATGGAACGAGAGCCGGTAGATTCAGCCTTCGACGACTAATCGACGACCCTGCCCATATGATGACCGTTGACCACAACTGCTGCATCGCTGGAATGAATCAGAGGGAGAGGTGTGATTGGTCGTACTGACCGATTTCTAGTCAAATGACAAGTGAGGTTGGCGCTGGTCACGTGACCCGCACAACTGGAAGACGAGGAAGAAAAGTTGGTGCCGAGTGACGTTTCCGCCTGAGAGCCGAAAGAATGCCGACGTCGCACCGAGGTACTCGCTGAAAGCATACCGATGCTGTGATGATTGACATCTTCTCCTGTCGGTTACTTTCCGAGCGCCATCTGGTTTTGACATCATCCAAATACGCCGTCATATGAAGATGAGTGCTGGCGCAGCCAGACTATTTCAGGCGACTCAAAGAAGCATGACTTCTAGATGTACATGGATTTCAGCAAATGTCTTTCCCACGAATGGAAGAGGGGCCACGTGTAGGAAAGGACGAAGATCACGGTCAAATTCTGCAATATGCATTTACGTGACTTAAAGAGGAAACAAGATTTGATTTGCCTGCTCTCAAAGCACACAATTTCTGATGAAAGTGCTTAGTTTGACTCTACCTAGCGGACCGATAATTACGTCGAGGTAAAGTCAGATACCGCCGCATGAGTGACGGACACTTGGACCATCCTCAGACAGTGTGAGAACAGTGCGACGAGGGTGCAGCGAGTCAACTAATGGCTAGCAAAATTGGCCCTAGACAATACGGTAAAGCCTTATGACAGCGCGGGATACGAGAGCATATCCCGGAGTCATTTCCAAGCGTACTGCCACCCTCAAAGAGTCGGAGTCGGTTCCAAGCCTGATTCAGAAAAACGCGTTGCCATCTGGCACGCAGCCGGCTGTAAAGACAATTGCAATTGCCAAAACCAAATCTGATTAGTCAGCCTACCTCAAACAAGAACGCTATGGCCTTCCCACAGGCGACGCACAACAGCAAATCTCTGCGACTGTGAGAAACGCGCAAAGCAATCAATCTATTCGACGACGGCAGTCAAAGAGGGAAAGGTTGCCATGCGGAAAACGACCAGAAGAGAAATGCGAATAACCCTGGAACTTCGGACCAATGACGAAAAAGATTGTGGAGCTAGCGGAAACTCATCAAAGAGAAAAACTCAAATAGACTGCATTCAGGAGACGAAACGGAAAGGTGAGAAGTCGAAACTCTTTCCTGCGGAACATCAAGCACAAGAGGTGGTGTTGGAGTTGCACTGAATGAAGCGAGGTATTCGAAACCAACCTGACTTACGACCGAGTCATAGGCGTTCAACCGACATTGGAAATTGATAACTTAAATATCATAATTGTCTACACTCCTCAGCTATCCAGAATGAAGCCGAGAGGTCTGAATTCTGGGAGAGCGTAAATATTGCACTGCGAAACGTACAGCGAATCGAAAAAGTGGTAATCAGGAATGACCTAATCGATTATGCCGAATACTCCATAAAATCGAGCAGTTACGACAGGGTCCAATGAGGACATTGATATGGCACAATGAAAAGGGACAATTTACGAAGCGTGATCATAAGCATAGGGAATTCCAGAGTCTAGTTAGAGAAACAAAGTGCACAGCATATATCGAGAAGACAAAGTGGTGGTGGAAGGCGGAAGTACAGACTGTTCTACGAACACAAGAAAGAACTCCTCAAGAAACGGCAACTTTCAAACAGGACTAACACCCTTTCCACAGCAACGTGCCTGAGGCTTGCCTCTGTCGTGTCATCCAATCAGTGCTGTTGCTTGGTAGGACGACAATTGTTTTAAAAGAGACCAAAAAGAAGATTAAACCGCGTACCGCAATGTTGACTTCAAAGCATGATGAAGGTTAACGGATGGGCCACGTAGGGAATGACTCCATTCTCTTAGGACACAGGTGGCATTAGAATGTGGGGATTAATGAAGGAGATGAGTACCATCGGAGAGGCTGGTTGAGCATAAAGCCCAGCCTATGAGCTGTTTTTATAGGATGCAACGTCGACTGGGAGATGAGCGTGGAATTTGGAAGAACGACCTGCTTTTGGCTAGAAATGAAATTCGAAAATTGGATTGCATCTAGTCAGTTATCGTCATAGAAATTATGCTAATATTATGCCTGATGAAGTTGAGCCTCGGTTCGTAGAGAGATCAATGCAGACGGCTAGTCAGACGAATTTAATATATGAGCCTCTTGACTCATTTCATGTATTATTTTGCTCCATCCTTCCGCTCAGTATTTTGGAAAAGGTTTTTCTTTTGCCAGTTTTTCTCTTTGTGTTACAATTAATGCGTAACATGTACCACCCAAGCAAAAACAATACGTCCGTGCTCCAAGGTGTTTCAAACGAGGCACAGTTTTTCCAAAATCAGATTTCACTGCGTATTTCCTCGGAGGAAGAGTGACGATCACGCGCCCAAATGAAGACACAACGGAGTTAGGGGGAGGCGCAATCTGCCGCAAAATCTGGTCTTGGATGAGTTACTCGTTAGTTAATACGTTACGCAGTACATACCTGCTTTAGTGATGGATGTTGCTGTGGATGGCATCGTCTTTAATAGCGGCTCTTCGACCAGATTCAGGTCTAAGTTACCTCCGGTGTCCACGTCAATGTTCTTACTAATCGCTTGAGTGGGTTTCGGAGCAACGAGGTTACGGCAGTTCATATTTGGGTCTAATGCTACCGATCGCTTGACGAACTCGAATTTGATTTCCCATGCCTTAGATCCGCATTTGCTGAGGTACGCAGTGGAGGCGCATTTATCATATTTTTCAATCATGTCGCAGAGCTGCTTCGCTTTTGCCTGATGTTCTTCCGGTTTCATGGCATACAGTTTTTCCAATTTGCCTTTTATGGTCAGTTCACAGAACAACACCGACGGGTCTTGATCCATGCTGTAATAAAAAGCGAATTAATAGTCGATCCAAACGGATGGAAACGGCTACCACACAGCACTGTCAAAAATCGAAATCCTAAATTAAAACAATACACTGCGAAAGTGAAATGTATTTTGACTAAGTGCAAATGTTAGATGCCAAAACATTTCTGTCATTATTTATAATTAGTGAAAACAGCTCAGGCCGGTATTGGTGTTCTGGTAAAACCCAACCTCGCAGATAGAAACGTTCACTAGAAGGGTGGTAATCCTCCAACTGAAGCTGCAACAGACTAAAGCGGTTGGAGGGAGAATGTCATACCTTGGTTGAGGAAGTGGAATGTGCTCTGTGTAAAGTGCCGAACACAAATTCCCTCATACTCATGGGCGATTTTAATGCGCACGTCGGAGTAGACGCTGGCGTGGTTGGAAAAAACGGCCCCAGCGACCTCAACAATAACGGCATGAAGTTGTTGCGGTTTTGTGCAAATAACGGATTGTCCATTATCAACACCTTCTTCGAGCACCGAAGAGTGCTGCAGTACACCTGGTACCTCGCAGATAGAATCATTAATTGGAAGCCTGTCAGCGGAAGGGTGGCAATCCTCCGACTAAAGCTACAATAGGCAAAAGCACTGACTTTGTTACAGGTCTATCTGCCCAATTTAGAAGAGGAATATGATCACGGAGTCCTTCATAGTCACAGGCGATTATAATGCGCATGTCGGAGTAGACGCTTAAAAGTGGAATGGCGTGTTAAAAAAAACCACCTCCAACACCACCTAACCACCTCAACAAAGACGGCAGGAAGATGAGGCGGCTTTGTGCATACAACGCACTGTCCATTATGAACACCTTCTTCGAGCAGGTACCAGGAAGCTTGTCCACAGAAGTTGATGATCGATTTGATAATCGTATCGTCTGACTTAAGACGCTCGGTAATGGATGTTTGCATTAAAAGAGGCGCAGAGCTATCAACCGATCACCACCTTGTTGTTGGCACGCTGCGCGGTAAGAAATGGAGTAGCGTGCGAAAATCTGGTGGCAGAAGCAACCTGAGAATCAAATGGGAAACATTGTCTTCTGTGGACACGAGAGCGAAATTTGCAAACAACATCGCACGAAGGTTTGAACAGATCCCATTGATGACAACTGATATTGAAACCGAGTGGCAGCTCTTTAAGAGCGGCATATTCGAGGCTGTCGCCGAATGCTGCGGATTGAAACGGATTGGCCTGCCGCCTGGAGGTCAGAAAAGATCTTCATGGTGGACACGAAAGATTCAACTGGCAGTGAAGAGTAGAAAGCTGCTGAGAAGAAATAGCTTGGAAGAAAAGAACCTTCAGTTGGTACGCAATACATCTAAGCACGCAAAGCGGCCATTATCAAACAAGAGGCAAAGTATAAATTCGAAATACTTTATTCAGAAAACTAATGCCAGATTATGACAACTTCTCATCTTTTTATTTTATTTCGCTGTGTCCTACAAATACCCCCTCCCACATCAGCCCCTTTGATTTTCCTCAGTTCTTCTACGTGCCTTTGAAACCCTGTCTACGGTTGTACGCTGCCAGCGTTAGTAGGAGCTCCATTTCGCTACCCGGTATTCCTAGCACCCTCTACTTTCGCGCCTGGTCAGTTTCTGTCTTCGCCAGCGATTAGCCAGCTTCCGGGGAATGAGGGCCGATACTTTGATTGTAATGAAACCTTAGTAGATTTCGCCCTATTTCACTAAGTTGGCGATGTGGATTGATGCTTGCTCCCTCTTCCACTTGCTGGGTACGTTTCTTAAGCTCTCACAAAATGTTCATCTTACCAGAGCCTAGAAGCTCGGTTGTACATCGTTTTGAGGACCCGTTGTTACCCTCCTATCACATTGAAGTAGTGGAAGTAGGACTCAGAATGGCTGAAGGAGTTATGCGCAGTCTAAAACACCCTAGCGCACAAACCCATTTTGATGTTAATGCGGAAGCATATGAAGGCTATTTTTTTGTTGGAACGTCGCTAGCGATGAGCGTGAGGTGACTATAGACAACAAAATTATGAGAGGTGTATTCAGCACTAAAAGCATCAAAGACCATTACGCGTTTCCTAGTTAAATGCCCCCCCCCACTCTCTGTAAATATTATGAATGGGGACGGTGCAATATGCTATGAAATTTGGTCTTGGGTGAGTTACGTGTTATTTGCTATACTCCAGCGTAGGGAAATATTTTGAAGCATATTCAGTAGCATACAAGGGGTAGTACAAACTCCTTAAACATTATTTGCGATGAACGTCAAATTATTATAGCGGAAATAATGATGCGGGATACAGCTAGCATTGCAGGCGTTCAATCTCCATTTAGCAGTGGCTCGTCTGAACGATCCATCCATCAACCTATCCACCGATGTCCCTGTTTTTCTATTGATCGATTCACCCGTCAGTCGGTTAATTCACCCATCCATCCATCCATCCATTCTTCATCCAACCGCCTATCTATCAACGTCGCTATCTGTCTACCTCTATATTTATCAGTTTGTTTGTATGTATGTCTCTGTTTATCTACCTGCATATCTACAGTGAATTTCTTACCATATCAGCGTCGGTTAACTGATCATTCTGAATGGTGAAAGATAGATCAAGAAGTAGGATTTTAAGTTGAAGATTAGCAAAGGTGTAAACGGCATCTTTCTCGTCGATCTCAACGTAGAAAGTTCGGAGAGGACATGCACGGTATTAAAATCAAGGGGGGGGGGCATATGCATCTGCCAAAATTGTCGAACTTTCGGAATCTATGAAGGCAATTCTTTATTGGTGCAATGACAACTAGCATAATGGCCTAAAATTTTGTTTAATATTCGATGTTGTCAGTCTTTTATGAAAATATTGAAAAAAGGTGGTGTTTCCTGCGGTTTCCCATGGTTGGTGTTGACCGTAAATCGATTTGAATTGAATTATTAGAAAAGTGACGTTCGTCTGCAATATAACTTGATACCTTTATGACCAGAAATGTGAAAACGGCTCAAAACGTGAAAATGCGTTGATGTACCTCGTTCCAGGTACCGGGTACTGTTTCAGGGTGTGTCTGTTAATAAAAGCCATAACTCGTCACTTACTGCTTCAGGCAAGCACTATGGGTCTGCAGATGCTTGCGTACGTCTGGGCTGCAGACGTAGTCGTAGAGCGACTGGGCGACGCGCCCTATGTCGTGGCATCTGGTCAGCAGGTCTTCAGAGGCGCACAGCTTGTAGTTGAGGTACGAGGAGCATAGGTGATCGCTGTAGTTGCGAAGGGTGGCGATTTTCGAGTCGGCCATGCCAGGCAGAAAGCCTGTGCCTCGCAGTAGGTTTCCGATGCAACGCAGCATAAGCGACATGGACACCGCATCGCACCGATCACTGGCAGCACCTACAACGAACAGCAGTCGTGACGACGGCCTGTGCACTGCGTGTACTGCCATAAACACTGACAGTCATAACTGCTCGGTTCCTAGACGAGTAATTGCGGCCGAGTACTGGCCGCTGTACGGCCGCTAAATCATGCTTATGACTTCCGTTACAAAAGAATATGATCGAAAATCGAAACTCTTCTCTGCCTATTTCGATGATGATGATGATGATGATGAAAACCAGCCACTTCATAGCCATAACCGGGCTTAGAAAATTTTCGAGAAAGTTTTGCGCGGCCATACGGCTGAAACTGAACCGTCGACTCGTCACCGGAACGTATAATGTTCAAAGGAATCGAACAGGGTGCGGTGATGATTAAAACAAAGACACACCAGTTATTATTCGATGATTCGGCTACAAACAACTGCAAGGTGGCTAATGAATGATTGCCAGATGGAATCCATCATGCGCCAGTGAGTTGTCGAGTGCTAAGCACTAATTGCTAGTGCAATTTATTTAATGATAAATTTTCTGAAAGATGAACTAGTACCTACAGTTTCGGTCTGCCTCTCACATACCTCTTCAAGGTACGAAGTTTCCCATCTCTTTGGCTGCTCATTTGTACACTTCATTGCTTGGCTACAATCAGCTACTTTATTAATACCGGAGTTTCCATATTTTTTAAACTCAAAATTGACAATGCTTCTCTCCTGCAGTGAGAACAGTGAGGGTAAAATATGACCTGAAGTGCCATTTTTAAGTTTATTATCGTTATTCACCACCTTCGTAGCAGCTCAGCAATATCTCCCACTGAAGACTGGTCTCGTAGAGAGTTTTATATTTTAATCAGTTTCTAAATCATAACGGATGAGTGAAATTGCTTTAGACACCTGAACAGCATCTGCAGGCTTACTAAATCACTGCTTCGATAACATGACCAAAGGAAGTGTTCTTCAGCTAAAATCTTGATGCCTCTAATCAATGAGTCAAAAGACTTTTTAGCGACAGTATCACTCACCGACCTTTCATCTTGAATCAAATCTGACCTTCTGCAAAAACCTGATTCTGACAGAAAAGAAGCCTTTTAAATTTAAAGGTCAGCTGCACAGAATTTGAACTTTCGCGTCATAGACCGGATTATCAAACGATATATCGCTGAATATGAAGCTTTTAAATACATTTTCAAAGATGATGTTTAGTTTTTTTCATCAATATCTACGTGTCACTTCATACTGTAATCTTCGATAAATTCGCTAAGCGATTAAGTGTTCAGTCAGTCAAAAGTACCTCTCGAGAACGAAGGAGGTAACGAGGAAAAAAGACGGGCTAAGAGGTGATGAACGAGGTGCCAAAGGAATTTATTCATCCACCCGTCCGTCCACCCATGCATCAATTCATTTATTCATTCGTTCATTCGTTCACTCGCTCTTTAGTTCATTTGTCCGTCCAACATTTATCGATCCTCTTGTCGCAGCCATAATCAGGTCGCCTAATCAAAAATCTCAATGGCCTTTAGGTCATATGCCCAATGACAACATAAATGTGGCTGAACGTGTCTTCAAGTACCTGGCACATGGTTAAAGCGACTCACTGATATAGCCAAATCAGCCCTGATTCATGTTTGAAAAAAAAAACGCGGATCAACCACGTACGAGAGATCAAATGTCAAAGAATAGAGTAGAAATATGATTCGACATGGTTATCTTGTCTTGACTCTCAAAACTGGTATACGAGTTAGTATTCGGACAGTCAACTGTCCCCCTCTTGTGTATGGTTGAACAGGCTAGAACACTGATGTGTTGAATAAGAGAGTGATGTCTTGAATCTTGAACCACAATTGCCACATAGTGCGGAACAGTTTTCGACATGTCCTTTGTACAATCAATAACGTCCAGCACGCACTTACTTCGACTGTGGCTGTTGACGAACCTCTTGCTTTCTCGATTTTAAAAGGAAAGGATTTGCTCTATGCGATACAGTGAATCTGATATTATTAATATCATATAACTGTGGTATAACCGTGACAGATGGTCTCCCTATGGGCCAGAGCGCAGTTACTCCAAGTACAGCCACTGATCCAGTCTTTATCCGTAGGTGTTGTCAGATGTGAAATCTCAAAATGCAAAGTATACGCATTTGCAAGAACTCAACTCCATTAACGATCGATTATTACATTCATTGCTCGAGGTCTTCGGAATATTGAACCAGACAGAAAAATACTTTTTGACAAATTAGCGGTGTAGTTCATTTAATGCATTTCATTATTCGACGAGTGACGGGTAAGCGGTTCCGATTTGTGCGAACCAATTTTGTTTCTCTTCTTTTCCACAGCATTCTCCAACGGTTGTATGATCGGCCTGTTTTGCATACAACCAGCTTATGCATCGTCCAGGCTTGATCAACTCTGATTCTGACAGCATCTGATTACGCAATCATCATCATCCACTGTCTGACAAAGGATTCTTTAAGTCCACGTCATCAACGTTTATTCCTGCGATTCTTATCCATCCTGATTGAGCGAATTCTTTAGCTCATTCTCTCATCGATTGAACTCCTTCAATCAGGGATTTATACTCTCTTGGAACTCAGACTAGTGCCTCTCTGATCCGCTGATGAATGGTTTTTTTTTTGAAACAGCCCTGTCGAATGCCACTTCAGCTGCTTCACTCAGAAATTGACATCGCAGACTCTTGTTTGTTTTCGTATCCATTCGTTCCCCCTGTTATTCTCAACATACACCCTTGGATGCTACTGCGCTGCGCAGTTCTGTAGTTTGTGAATAGATTTCAGGCTTAGAGTCCGCGTTTCGCGTAGGAGCACACATAAATCGACAAACTTTTCGTTTCAAGCGCAAACGCAGTTCCGGATGGAATCATCTTCTGTCATTCAAACGGGTTCCATGCCATTCTTACTCTTGTGTTGATTTCGGAAAGTTGGTTTCCCATTGCACAGACCAGTTGTTCCAGGTAAACGAAGTTTCGCACCTCTTCGTGCCTAAGGTTGTTGACACAGACCATGGGGTTACGTAATTGTTAGACACTAAGTCAGTCTTCTCTTCTAAAGGTCTGTTTACGTTTCTGTTTTGATGCTGACATCGTTCGTGTGACATGAGAATTTAATATTCTTCTAATTATTGAGATATCTCGACTCTTTTCCTCTGATATATGATGTTGTCATTTTTCCAGCATAATTTTCGCTTCTTTGTCAGTACTCTGCAGTACTCCAGCCCGGGTCAACTTGGTTTGAACTTCACGTATTAATGTTAACGGTCGTTTACCCACAGCACTATCCACAATTCTGCAACCGTATTCAATTCAGTTTAACTGACTCCGTGAATAACACTATGAATAAATTCCTCACGATGCCCTTATTCTTCAGTTTCATCCATTGCAGTTCCTGCATTATCCGTTAGGAATCCTCATTCTTTTCACTGATGCCACCCTGATACGTGTTCTAACATTCTGATTCATTATTTTATTCTAGATTTGCAATATACTTTCGCTTTCTTTCATACTTTCTTTCCAACCCAATTGCAGCTTTCATTCGCATCATACTTGGAAAGATGCTTGACTATTTTTATTGACGATTTTTTACGTTTAATTACAAATGCATGGATTAAATTATTATCACGTTATAGCAGTAATGTGCTTTTTCGTTTGTTCATCAGTTCGTGGCAACCAGTCGAATCCCGCCTAATGATCGGAGTTTAGTGACTAAGCCTAGGCTTGGATTTGAAAGCTGGAGTGACGAAACATTTTATTCAAATGAGGCTCTGGCGCTACTTTTTCGAGAATCAGCCATAGTTTATGATGATGAATTAGTTTCGCACAGTTGCGAAGTCGTAACCTTTCTACTTATATTGCGAAACGTCAAGCTGCACTTCCGCAGTAATGCAGTGAAGTGATGGATTGAAAAGGTCAGATCAGTAAATTGGATAAAAAAAACTCGGATCGTAAATTTACGGTGTCATTTAGTCGAGAGCAGCAAATTGATCTCGCTCGCATTCTCGCCCTTGGCTTTCAGCACTTCAGACCAGTCACTGACGGGTAGTTCGCATGGATTTTGCCAAACGGCACGTCAGTCAGCATTGAACTGAGCAGTAACTGCACTAATTTTGGTAGAGGGTCTGTCTTACATTCGACAGGTGCTGGATTCGAGCCTCGGGTCATTCGTCTTTCAACCAATTTCAGTCGTCGCCCAGATGAAGCCTCAAAAAGAGACAGTACATTCCTGATGGATTAAACAAAAACTGAGGTTGACGCCGCATCATAAACTCAATCCAGGAATCGGTCACACCTCCTCTCATAATGAAGGTTCAACCGAGAGTGACATTTCAGCGATTACAAACTTGCCTTATCTTACTTACCTTACCTTTCCGTTCTTATCCCGATTAGAAGTCAGATAAAACCGTGTTTCGAGCATGTTTTATCTGAAAATAAATGCCGAAAGTGTCCTCAACTGTGTTCATTCCGGAAATTTAGTCAGAGGACAAAGACTGGGAGTCCGTGCCATGGTTACTCACTGTTGTACATGCTCTACTTGTTCGTAAGATTGTTGCAAAAGTCGGCCAGCAACACTGAAACGGTTGGATCTTGCATTCAACCTTCCAGCGTGAAAGTCTACTGCAAATCCCGGATGTATAAACTGTATCTTAAAGATTTCCTGGTGTACTAAAGACAAGTTTCAGAAGGAAATGAACATTTTGACCGTACACTAAGCCAGGATGAATGGGAGGGAAACAATGGTGGTATTTACAGACGAAACACATTTGTATCGAAGCATGGGAAGAAACATGAAGTAAACGGAATTCCAAATATCTTGCCAGAATAAGTGCAGCGTGCAGGAATGCCAGCGAAGTAAGAAAGGGCTCCAGGTGCAGATGGCATTACGTTGGGACTCGTGGAATCAGGAAGTTAAGCTTTGACCTATGCCTTTTCAGTGGAAGTGAAAATTTTAGAATATTGCACTTCTACGAAGGAAATTCTATCCTGCAAAAAATAGACAAATTGGATCCGAAGAACTATCGATTGATCACTTCATTACCGATCATTTTTAGAACCTTCACAAACTA